ATCAGTACAACAGAGCTGGTAACCTCTTTTCTCCCTGCTGAGGGGCACTGAGACAGCGGTGTGCCGCCCCGACCTTGAGGCAAGGGAGGCCTGTTGCCTGCAGGGCTCACGCACCCCGCACGTGAAGGATAGAGTGGGGCATCTTGTTTGCTCCGGGGGACACCAGTCGCTTCTGCTGATCCATGTGGGGACAAATGACATAGCCAGGCAGGGTGTGGTCAGGATCAGCAGGGACTTCAAGGCCTTGGGGAAGAAACTCAGGGACCTAAAGGCCCAAGTGGCCTTTGCATCTATCTTACCAGTCTGGGGATGGTCCAGGCAGGGAAAGGAGGGTAAGGCTTAGGATGTGGAATGCTTTGGGTTCCTCAACTGCGGTACCCGGTTTCTTGCCAATGGACTTCTGGCAAGGGATGGGTTGTACCTCACGAGGATGGGGAAAAGGTCCTTTGAAATGCTCTAGTGAGCTTTGTCCAGAAGACTTTAATCTGAGATGGGATGGGGGTTCAGGCCCCCCAGAAATTTATCCGCACAAGTGTGGGGAGAGGATCAGGGCTCTGGGACAAGAGTGTTAGAGGTACTACAGGGACTGGCAGGACTCCTACAAAGAGAGGCCAGGTATCAGGGAAGATGGGAGGAAGGAGGAGGCTGGGGATTCCAAAGAAAGGAAGCTGTGGGAAGGAGTTGAGGTGCATGTACACCAATGCTAGAAGCATGGGTAATAAGCAGGAAGACCTTGAAGTGCTCCTGGGAATAGGAGAGTATGATCTAGTGGGGACCACAGAAACTTGGTGGGATGAAAGGCAAGACTGGAATGTAAACACAGAGGGGTATCACCTGTTTAGAAAGGACAGGAAGGGAAAGATGGGTGTGGGCATAGCTTTATATGTCAGGGAAGGGATAGGATGCAGTGAGATAGAATGCAGCGCAGATGGGGATTTGGTAGAGGCAGTCTGGGTGAAACAAAGGGGGGTTTGACAGGGAGGGGGACCTGACAGTGGGGGGGGGGGGGTGTTATCACCATCCAGGTCAACTTGAGACCCTGGATGTTGTCCTGACAGATTAGATTCTGACGATATCTCGAGGGAGGGACACAGTAGTTATGGGAGATTTCACTCTCCCGGATATTAGTTGGGAGTTTCACTCAGCAGTGACAGCCAGGTCACATCGCTTCCCAGATGCTACAGAGGGAGGGTTTTTCATGCACAGAGACTGAGAGGTGACTGGGGAGGGGGGGGGACATCCTTGACTTGGTTTTGACCAACAGGGAGGAGCTGATAGACGAGGTACAGATTAGGGGAGCTCTGGATGCGAGTGATCACTCCATTCTTTGCTTTGAGATCAGGGGAATGGGGACTTGCAGCAGGTTGAGCACTAGAAGCTGGGACTTCAAGAGGGCCAACTTTGGCCAACTGAAGGCCAGACTGGGGAAAGTCTGCTGGGATGGGTTACTGGAAGGCAAGGGAGTTGAGGAGGGGTGAGTGGCACTCAAAAGGGAGGGTTTGGAGGTGCAAGCCTTGACGATACCTCTAGTAAGTAAGGCAGGGAGGTGAAGGAGGGCGCGGCCATGGATGCGAAAGGAGGTGGTTAGAGGGATTAGATGCAAGAGGAACCTCCCTAGGAAATGGGTACTGGGGCAAATAGACAAAAGGGTATACCAGGAGGATGAGGCTCATTGCAGAAGGGTTCTTCACTAGGCTAAGGCTGATTACAAGCTGAGACTTGCAAAGAATATCAAGAGCAACAAAAAGGGCTTCTATCAAGAGGAAGTGGAGACAAGTGTTGGGACCACTAAATAAGGAGGAAGGGGATCCAGTGACTGATGCAAGGGAACACACACAGATGCTAAATGACTTTTTTGCCTCTGTGTTCTCCCCAAAGCAGGATGGGGGAGATCCTCATGGGAGATAAGATGAGGCTGGGGACTTAGGGGCACAGATTAGAATACCCTCTCCCCTGAAGTCGAGGGACTCCTCAGGGAACTGGACATTACAAAGGCGCCGGGACCTGATGGGTTACACCCAGGAGTACTTTGAGAAGTGACAGGGCTTCTCTCATGCCTGCTGGCCTTCATTTTTGAGGCCTTGTAGAGAACCGGTGAAGTTCCAGAGGACTGGAGGGTGGCGTCAGTGGTCCCAATTTTCAAAAAGGATAGTAAGAAGGGAAATGGGGAATTACAGACCAGTTAGTCTTACATCCATTGTAGTAAAAGCAATGGAAAGGCTCATAATAGCGAGAGATCAAGTGATGCTAGATAGGGAAGGGAGGATGGCAGCCACACAACACGGCTTCCACAAAAATAGGTCCTGCCAGACAAACCTTGTGGATTTCTATGACAAGGTTTCAAGGTGGCTAGATGGAGAAGATGCAGTGGATGTGGTTTACCTGGATTTCAGCAAGGGCTTTGACAAAGTGCCCCATAATATCCTGGTGGAGAAATAGAGGAGTTTTGTGATAGACCAATGCACTGTTTGATGGATTAGGGCATGGCTGACTGACCGAAAGCAGAGGGTAACCATTAGTGAGGAATCATCAAGATGGTGGCCAGTGACAAGCAGGGTTCTGCAGGGCTCTGTCCTAGGGCTGATCCAATTTAATATTTTCATTGACGACATGGAAGAAGGGGTGAAGAGTTGGCTAATCAAATTCACAGATGATACTAAAACCAGGGCAGTGGGGGCAACTGAGAGGCAGGTACCCCATCTCCAAAAGAATCTCGACAGACTAGGGAAGTGGGCAGGAGACAACAGGATGGCGTTCAATGTGGATAAGTGCAAGGTCTTGCAATTGGGGCATAGGAATGAGTGTCATAAGTACAGGTTAGAGGACAAGTGCCTGGAGAGCAGCACTTGTGAAAGGCATCTTGGGGTGCTGGTTGACTGCAGGCTAAACATGAGTCAGCAGTGTGATGCGGTGGTTAAGAGGGCGAATGCCACCCTTGGTTGCATAGCCAGAAGTGTGGCTTCTAGATTGAGAGAGATATTACTACCACTCTGTATGATTCTGGTGCACCCGCAACTGGAGTATTATGTTCGGTTCTGGGCCTCTCATTACAGGAAGGATATAGCCAGGTTAGAGTCAGTGCAGCATAGGGCCACAAGGATGGTGGCCTGATTTCAGGGGAAGCGGTATGAGGCCAGACTGAGGGAACTGGATCTTTTCAGCTTGGAGGAGACTCCGAAGGGATCTGTTAGCGACATGCAGGAATGTGAGGGGATGTCACACAGAGGTGGGTAGGGACCTGCTCTCCCCTGCAGAGGAGGACAGGATGTGCTCCAACGGAGCAAAGTTCAAGGAACCAAGGTTCAACTTGGATGCCAGGCAGTACTTCCTGACAGGCCCCTGAGGGGATGGAATGGGCTTCCATGGGAGATGGTTGAGGCCCCATCGGTGAGGGTGTTCAAAGATAGGCAAGACATGCACATGGTGGGCATGTCGTGAGTGGAGTCGGCTGGAGCCGGAGGTCAGACTAGATGGCCTGGGAGACCCCTTCCTGAAAACTCCAGTGGTAGCTCTGAGTCTTTTCATTTTTAAGTTTAACAATCACAAATGTACTTCCTCTTGCTGATATTGTGCTCTCAAGGAAAGCTCAGTATTTCTTTGAAAGCACATGGATGTTCACAGAGTTCATTCTGTCTTACTGCATTCTATCTTTACTGTGCTTGCTGAGTTTTCCTGGCATAAATGGGGCACATTCATGATATGCTGAAAGGAATCCAGTAGGAGCAGACGTCTCCATTCAGACCCTAGGACTAAATCCATGTTGCAGTTTAATGCCACCATGTGGCAGACATTAGAAGTTGCAGGGAGTGATTGACAGCCAGCAGCTTTCATCCAGTTTCGGCAGAAGCCAGCAATAATAACCCTTTGTAACAAGCCTGGATTGGTGTATTACAGATACAGTATTAAATTTAGAATAGAGTTTCAGAACATCCCCACCTCCAAAACTGCAGCTATCCTAGATACCCCAAAATTTACTTAAACCAATCTAGCTTAAAGCATTAACTACTTCTCTTGCTGCTGCTGCTGCCGCTGCCACAGCTCTAGCTTTAAAGAGGAGGACTTGACCTGTGTCTGGTGATCAGTGAGTAAGCTGATCACATAAGGCAGCTCATGTGAGAACAACCAATCAGAAGGGGTCACAGAAAGCCGGGTCATGGCACATGTTTCCAAACTATGGTTCCCAAGATATATCTTGATATTATTTGTACACATACAAAAACCTGTACACATGGAGGGAGATTTGTACTAAGGCAAAATTCTTGCCTGAGATTAAAAAACAAAACAAGAATATATTTCCTACCTCATCACTTTATATCCTGGAGGGAAAAAAAAAATCTGTTCCTGTCTCACCACAAAGAAAGCTTTGCAAACAAATATGCCAGGCTGATTTTTGTGAGATTATTTTTCCTCCATTTATTCCAGGCATGCTCTGTCCAAGCATAGGCATGAGTCCATGTATCCAGGGGCCACTATAGCACTCAGCACAGTCTTGGGTTGGATCTTGACACAGTCATGCCTCGAGTAGATCCACTGAAGTCAATGAGACAAGTTAACCATAACTAAATCCCATTGATTTGAATGGGTCCACTTTAAGCATGATTAATTTGGATTGAATGCCCTGGACATGCATGCAGCCATTGCAGGAACTACACTGCCTGTGTAGGCTTCCCATTTGCCCATCAACCCTCTCCAAGCAAGCCCCAAGCTTCAGTAATTTGTCAAAAAGAAAGAGTGGCACGGAATATGGGAGAAAAGCAGAGACCATCTGATCCTGCAAGAGCCCACAAAGGTGTACACCGAGAAAGGGAGCAGGTAACAAAGAGAGAGCTCTATTGTGCTTTCTCTGTATGTGGGTGCCCACACTGAGATGGGTTGTGGCATTGTGTTAATTTGCTGCCACAGAAAAATCAAAGTTATTGTTGCAAAAAAAATATTGTGACAGACTTTTAAAAGTAATTATAATGGCAGAGTTGTTAACATTAACATCACCTGAAAGCAGATACAGTCATTATCTGTTAATTTTATTTTTGTTTATGAATATAAATGACAAAAACTTCATTTAAATGTGTAGAAATACCATATAGCAATCCTAAAAGCGATTACATGTACGTGAGGCAGTATTTCAAATGCACACCTCCAGATGTGCAGTTTTTAAAGTCTTCTTTTGCCCATTTTAGAATGCCTGCTTTTGAAGCAGCAGCAGAAAATGGCTGTTGGGAATAGAAAGCTGTACTGCCTCTGTGTTCAAAACTCTGCAAGAGCTGGTCAGCTCCAAATTTTTATTTTTGTAAGCCCAGATAGATTCCAACGGCTTTTATACAAGGCAGTACATAAATTGTGCAAAATTACCAGCCAGTAGAGTCAGAGCTAAGACAGCAGTCCTTCACCCACCCAGCCACTTCTCCACATTTTGGAAGTTGTCTTCTCTAAACCCCTAAACAATGTGCACTAAAATAATTTATATAGTCATTTTCTTGGTGTATATTAATATATATTTATATAAAATGGGCTGTGCCCTTTCATTATTTCAAATTATTGGCAGTTTTCAAAAACCTTAGCACGGATTGGATCCAAATTTAGGCAGGCGCCACTTGGCTGGCAGTAGCGGACTTCTCTACACTCCCCTGCTTGCCAGCTTCCTGTACTTTCTGCACAGAGGATGGGGGTACCATACTGAATGGGATGAGCCGAGGGGTAGGCTTTCCTAAAAATGCATGCAGATGTACTTCCTGAGAGTAGAGCCCTTTTGTCAATGAAAAACAGATCCTGGATCCAACCCTATATTTCCCATAGCTTCTGGTCATTGCTTGCTAGAGGAGACCAAAGTAAATGTGGGCATTTAAAACACAAATAATTCAATTAGGAGAGTTTTCAACTCAAAAAGCAACTGGTGTATCAATTTTCTTCAAAGAGCATCCATGAATAAATTTGGTGGCTTTTCATAAAAAGAAGAAATTTGATAGATTTGTTCTGTTTGTACTATGTTATTTCAATATTTAGGCACACTTTGTCAATTATGTATTATCCTGAGATCTCAGCTGCCCCACATGAAAAGTCAGATTATACAGAGCAGCTGACAAGGGAATCTGATTTGTATTCCAGGCAAGGGCATAATTTACTAGGATAATCTCTCCTGTGCAATCTGTTTAAATAAGAGCAGCACAAGAGTGCAAAAACACGCTTGCACAATCTCTCCTTGTGCAAAAAGAAAAAGAAAGAGCCTGTGGCCTATGCCACGGTTATAACTCTGGGAAGCAGGGAATATAATCCTTAATGAATTTACAAAATGCAGTGAGAATTCACTTTTTGCCAAAATGGTAAAATGCAATGCATTTAAACTTTGTCTAACATATTCATGTTAGTTATCTTGCAGTACCAAAGTATTTCATGACCTTTAAAAAACAGAAAGGAAACCCCTTTAAAACCCTCCTCAGATAAAGAAATAGTTTCACACAGGGTAGGGCACTAATGTGGCTTCCAAAAAGTAGTTCAATTAAATTTATGCTGGAACAGGAATTTTCTGTCTTGTCTTTCAAACAAGAACAAAAATGGAGCATCTGTTCTGTATGGAGTTGCTTTAGAAAGACATTCCTTCACTGACCCTTTAAAAATACATTAAGCCCCATTTACAATGGGAGGAGGAGCTTAAGACAAAGCATGCTTCCAGGTGATGCTTTTATCGCATCATAGCCTTGCTTCACTCATGGAATTTTATGGGATACATGGGTCCAGATGACACAATCTTCAACTTGTAACCCTCCTATGTTTTTTCCCAATGGGTTCTTCCATCTTTTTTCTTAATGCAGGAAATCACTTTATGCAGGAAATGTCCTGACCCAGGAAATGCAGGAGTCACAAGGCCTTCTGATTCAGAGCACTAGGAGGCCTATACCTAGAGGCACCCAAAAACGATCTGCCCAAGTGGTTTCTCACTGCACTGCCACTGGTCAGAGTTCTGCCTTCATTTTATGTCTTGCAGAGTCTCATGGTCCTGAAGCAGACAAATGGTGGTGACAAGCTCACATGGCCAAGCAAACTTCAATGGCTACATGGCAGCTCTTCTAAACCAGCTGCCCAAAGCCCATTCTTGGACCTTCTACTGCAAGACGCCCAGCCACTTTGGGTAGTGGGGCAGATGGGAAAGATTCCAGCTGATGGAGGGGGCAAGAGAAATTCAGAACAGGCAGTATTTTTTGAGATATACACATGCTTGAAATATGCATCTTTAGATGTTCTTCTTCCCTGGCCCTCAGTAAGCTCTCGAGTACTTTTCGAAGTGGAATGAGAAAGCCTCTGGGGCTAGAAAGAAGTGTTGCCTCCTGTCTTGAGTTACTGAGTATCACCGGACATCACTGTGGCAGTCTCGGACTTCAGTTGTTTTGGAGTCCCCTGCAAAAGGGATTTCATAGTTAGTCCTTCATTAAACAGGCACACTTCCCCCCTGCCTGATTCAGCCTGAGCCTTTTGTTGTCCTTAGTCCTTCCCTTGTCAGACCATCTCAGCTCAGACGTCTGCTGGGGGCTTCTCACATTGCCCTCTGCCCACGTGCTGCTACACGTGCACCACAACAGCGGATGGATTAGGCTTATTTCCAATGAAAAGGGGAGGTACAGGGAGAAGAGCATTCCAGCCTCAGGCTTCTATGGGAAGGTTTTACATGAAAGGCAAATTTCTACCTGGGATTCTAGGAAGTGTTGTCGCACTTCCCCATGGGACAAAATGCATGTCTGACAGTGGCTAGGTACCCATCATCCAGGAGAGGACACTGCTGGCAGAAAGCATCCCGGACATTGCTACCACCTTGGACAGCCAAGAGCAAGGCCGAATCCAGAAGTTACCCCAAACAATCAACCTGATCCCTAAAGAGGGCTGTGACCCTTGCCAGTAGGTAAGGGTCTCTCCACCTATCTCACCCAGGTGGATAGGTAATTCAACCTCATTCAGCTTATGATTCATTCAGAGAATCAGCTGCCTCACACGGATGCAGGGAGGGCATAATCAGTATGGGGCACCTCTTTCAATGGCATCACATACATATTGAACCACACAAGGGAGAAGACAGAACCTGGTGAGAATCCGTTTGGGGAAGGGATGATGTTCAGAGGAGGGCAATGGCCATGGTCAGAAGTATAGAAAGTAAGTCCTATGAGAAGCAGGTAGGTTTAGCCTGAGAAAGATGAGACATGGCAGCACCCTCCAAATACCTAAGAAGCTGCTGCAAAGATTTGCTCCCTGCTGCTCCTGAAGGTACGTAGTACTGTATTTAATGGAGGGCAGATTTCTTGAAATGTGATAACAGTTCCAGCAGTGTGATGATGAAGCCTATTCCTTAGGGACAGGCTCTCCCTCACTGGAAGTGTTGAAGCAGAGGCTCGGCAGTCATCTGTTGGCTGCCTTCACTCTGGTTTTCCTGAACTGACCTGAGGATCAGACCATATGGCCTAAGAGGCACCCTCCAAAACTGTGAGGCAACTCACTGGAGACGTGGATTTGGCAAAGTTCAGCTGTGTGTACAGCATGATGGCAATATCATTCTGGCCCGCTTCTAGTGCAATGGAGAGAGCTGTGCTGCCATCCTGCAGGAGAAGACAAGAAAGTGAGGTCAGCAGAACCACAGTGATGATGGTTTTTCCTGTCAAGTCCGAGCAGTGGCCTTCGCCCTCCCTGGCCAAGACTAGAATCCCAGAAGAAAGCTCCTAAATCAGGTTCCTGTGGTTTATTGATGGCTACTAGCCCCCATGGCTAAAATGAGCCTTCACGTACCTCTGAATGTGGGAGTTAAACTGGGAGAGGTCAACGCCTCTCTGCCCTATCTCCAAACCCCTGAAGACAGGCTAGATGGCTACTACTGGAAAAAGAATACTGGTCAAGTTGAATGCCTTGATCTGATCCAGTCAGCAACATTTTTGTCCACATAGCTCAATTCTGTTGCCACTTCTTGAGTGCAGCTTGGCAAGCAAGTTAAGAATGGCCCCTGTAGGCCCCAAAAGCTGGAAGGAGCTGGTGGTGTTGGTGGGGAAAGGACAGGGTAAGGTGGTGTGAATTTGATGAGCAATGCAGGTCATAACAACACGTAGTTAAATAGACCATTTCTTGTTTCAATTGCTCAATTCTCCTTTTTAACACATTGAAGCGCAAACCTGCCAACTCAGGTTGGCTGCAGTTACTCAAGAGGGTAAAAAAGGCGCCAATATTTAGATATCCCAGTGCTGAACATTGGCACAGCTTAAGTTCCACTCAGTTAAATAATTATTTTGCTTCAAATATTGTGTTAAAGGTGTTCCATGGACTTAATGTAATGGGCACCGATACATGGTTTTAAAGCGTAAGGGAAAGCTCTTTGAATTTTTTTCCGAGTATGAGCCCAGGCAACAAGGCTGTGAGCAGTGAGACATGGGGCACCCTCCCCCCACCTGTGAAATCCAGCAGCAGGACAGGCAGGACTCACATTGTCAGAGAGGGCAACATCACAGCCAGGTGTGGCCAACAGCAGGCGGACAATCTCAGCATGGCCGTGCTCACAAGCACACATCAAGGCAGTGGAGCCATCGTCGTCTTGCAGGTTGACATCCGCTGCATTAGCTAGCAAGGTGCGCACCATATCGAGACGCCCATGGCTGACAGCCAACATCAGCGCAGTCTGTCCAGCCTGCAAGGGTGGGGAGTGGGGTGGAGGAAGCAACGCTTTCAAGTTGCAGCTAAATGCTGGAGGGTGGCGATGGTGGCGAAGAACCTGTTGCCATGCTTGGCCCATAGAAACCATTCATTAAGCAAGCACAATCATTTGAAATATTAAATAAGAATGAAATCTAGACTTAAGTTTGATTTATCTGTTAAGTCTTAGTACCCCATGCTTGCAAAAAGAGCCAGTATATGTATACGTAAGAGAAAAAGAATCAGCTTTAAAATATTCCATATCCCCTCTTCTTCCAATTGCTCAAAGTGGAAAAGCTGTCACGTTCAAGCAGATTACCCCAGTAAAAACCTATTGCCCCTTCTTCTGACTTATATATCCAACTCCCTTCTGGAAATGTTGCTACCTGGCTGGCTTTGGCATTGACATTGCCACTTTTCAGCAGCTGCTCAATGGTCTCCATATCACTCTCCGAGCGGGAGGCAGCCAGTGCCGTCAGCATGATGGCTGTGTAACCAGCTTTGTTCTGTTGGTCCACATGGCATAAACCTAAAAGAAAAAGTGTTAAGTAAAGACCTTGTTCTTTTGTGGTATGCTTGGTCTGGTGTGGCTCACTCAGCCAGATCACACTGGCTCCTTCCTTCCTGGGTTCAAGAGACAGATACCTCCTTTTTGCAATCAGTTGCAGATCTCTGCTAAAGCTAAAGGCCAAGTCACCTGCATGCTAGCGCTGCAATACATATGCCTTGATTGAGGCCTTCTCAGTTTGGTTAATCAGTTTCAGAGTAAGCTGTCCATGTGCCTAAACACCTAAAATTCTTCTCAGAGATGAGCCATTACTGGACAATCAGTAGACAAAAAAACCCAAGACATTCTTCTGGAATCTCCACCCAGATAATGAGAGTATGAACTGAAGGAGCTTTATTCCACTGGAAAAGGAAGTTACATAGAAACACAGAAACAGAGTCAGAAGGAGTCTCCTGGGCCATCTAGTCTGACTCCCAGCTCCAGCCAGCTCTGCTCACGACATGCCCACCATGTGCATGTCTAGCCTATCTTTGAACACCCTCACCGACAGGGCCTCAACCATCTCCCATGGAAGCCCATTCCATACCCTTGGGGTCTTAACTGTCAGGAAGTACTTCCTGGCATCCAAGTTGAAACTTAGTTCCTTGAGCTTCACTCAGTTGGAGCACGTCCTGCCTTCCTCTGCAGGGGAGAACAGGTCTCTACCCACCTCTGTGTGACGTCCCCTCACATACCTGTATGTCGCCAATATATCCCCTCTGAGTCTCCTCTTCTCCAGGCTGAAGAGACCCAGTTCCCTCAGTCTCACCTCATATGGCATCCCTTGCAAACCGGCCACCAACCTTGTGGCCCTATGCTGCACTAACTCTAACCTGGCTATATCCTTCCTGCAATGAGGGGTCCAAACCTGAACACAATACTCCAGTTGTGGGCACACCAGAGTCGTATAGCATGGTAGTAATACCTCTCTCGATCTAGAAGCCACACTTCTGGCTATGCAACCAAGGGTGGCACTTGCCCTCTTAACCACCACATCACACTGCTGACTCAGTTTGGCCTGCAGTCAACCAGCACCCCAGGTCCCTTTCACAAGTGCTGCTCTCCAGGCACTTGTCCCCTAACCTGTACTTATGACACCCATTCCTATGCTCCAAGTGCAAGACCTTGGACTTATCCACATTGAACACCATCCTGTTGTCTCCTGCCCACTTCCATAGTCTGTCTAGATCCTTTTGGATCTGGAGTAGCTGCTCCTCAGTTGTGGCCACTGCCCCAGTTTTAGTATTGTCTGTAAATTTCATCAGCAGACTGTTCACCCCTTCTTCCATGTCACTGATGAAAAGATTAAACAGGGGCCACGTGCGTGCTTGAAAAGGAATAGTGTTGGCAGGCGATGATGTCATGAGCCGCGACTCATTGCCTGCGACTCATCTGAGCTTTCGCATGGCCAGTCAGTGCACTGCCAAGGACATACATATATATATTTGCTTGGACTGGCTGTGAGTTGTTTTTTTCTAAACTAAAACCTCAGTTTTCAGGTTTTATTGTACTTTGCGATAAATAAGTGGGTTTTGGGTTGCAGATTGGGCACTCAGTCTCTAAAAGGTTCACCATCCCTGAACTAGACTGTACTTGCCTATTTTATTCGTCGTTTCCCACTGAATTGCCACTGTATGTTTACTGCTTTGTGCTCTGAATGTGACCAACCTTTTCCTGCTCTGTACCTTTTCCTGAATCCCTAATAAATATTTTACCTCGTTTTCACCAAAACTCAGACCATGCGCTCAGGGAGCGAAAGACAGGAAGTTCAAAAGGGAGCCTGCCATGTAATTGGTCACACTAACAGAGATTTAACAACCAGATTGCATGCAATGTGCTGAGTACAACCTAGCTGTGCTCCCACAAGGACACAAGGGGGGTACAAAGAAGCCCAGCACAGCAAACCACTGTGGGATCCTTGACCAGTCATTCCCATGAGACCAAGAGAGCTTTGGAGCTGAGAAAACTTGGGTTTATTGGTTTTTGTTGGCAACTGGTACAAGTTTTGCTGTGTGCCCATAGTCGAGGTGCCCACAGGTGCTATTCCACCACACTTTGGAACTAAGGATTTGGAGCAAATGGATTGTGTAGCTCCAACCCTTTCCCAAGATACTGTGAACAAGCACCTGCTGACCTAGTTTACAAACATCTTCAAGCAAAGAGATCCCAAAGTCTAGTTAGTATCACCATGAGCCCCTTCCTGAACATTGATGTTTCTCCCATTGCTTCTTGGCATGGCCATCAGCAGGACTCAATCACTCCTTGCATCAACTTCCTCTTGCTTTACCCTTAGGATGGTGGATGTGTGATCCGCCAGATGTGGCTGGACTACAATTCCCATCAAGGCTTTGCTAGCTAGGGCTGCTGAACATCACAGTTAAACAAAAGCTTAAAGTCACCATCCTTACTCCTGCATTAGCCCAATCCCATTCTCCAAATCTCAAAGAATAAACATTCTGGATCACAAAACTCTCTAACTGGTGTTTAGTTGTAGTTGGAGCACTGGATGAGGCTGGAGCAAGAGCAAGATCCAGCTTCAAATCTCCACTCAGCCATGAACTTCACTTATTGTTTTGGGTGAGTAAGGGTTGTAGTAAGGATTGAAATGCCCTCTTAAGTTCCTTGGAGGATGGAATGAAGAATATAAATATAACAAATAGTCTTCTTGGACACTTCACTCTCCAAATATTGTGACTGTGTGGCATACAGCACTCTGGAACTCTGGACCACATGACTTCTGGGTGGTCTTGGCACAGCTGAAGTTCAAATGCCAAGAGCCAAGGTGTTCTCGCAAAAGGCCAGATATGTATGCTCCAAAGGCTCTCCTTCACTCCCAGCTTCCAGATTTCCCAGTTTTATTGTTCAAAACCTACCTGTTTCAAGAAGCTTTGTGACCACAGGAAAATTGGAATGTGAGACAGTGTAATGAAGGGCTGTGTTCCCATTGGCGTCAGCCATATTGATTACGAACTCCAGCAGTTGTGGGGAAATAGCCCGGAAAGCGGCTAAGTGCAGAGCGACCAATTCAGGATCTGCTTCTTTGTGGCAGGAAAGCCTGAGCCAATAGTGAAGCACTGTGGTGTAAGCCAGTTTCTACAGCAATGCAGAGAACAACAGCAATGACATCAATGACTGTCAGGTATGAAGCTGCTGTGTCCCACTTCTGCTTTCTTTCTTCTTCTTAGCCAAACACTCTGTATCTCCCCACATATTTCCACCTTTCTCTGGCCCACAGGCATGAGAAATTTCAGCTGTTCTAATTTAGTTCAAATAGCATAGTCTCCAAGGAACCCTTGAAGTGCAGAGCAGTCCATGTGGAGCTATTCCAAGTTGTTTTGTATCAGAACTGCCCTGTTCATCTGGATGGGGTCCAACATTACCTTTGGAGTCACTGATAGAATAAACCTCAGCTTGTAAATGTCTGCCCATGAAACCAGGGCCCTTTAGTGTGGCTGTCTGCCAGACATGCATCATGACCTCATCCATGGGACCTACATCACCCATTTAAATTCTCCTCCCCCCTCCAAAACTTTAGAAATATAAGTATACCATTTCTTCATCCATCTGTGCACTGGGAATTTCTAGGTATTTCTGAAGGATGTCACAGGCAGAAAGCAGCTCCTTGCTGAGTTCTGGCCTGGTAGGAAAATAGAAATGAAAAAGGGGGAAGAGTTTAGCTTTTGAAGAGAGGTTCCTAACTGAGAGGGCCGGGTTTGCACATGATGTCAACCCAGGATTTAGCAGTGCATGCATGAGCCTTTGCAAAGCCTCATGGTCATGCTCCTCCTCCCCTGTGACCAGGAGAAGGACTTAACCAGAATTGAGTTTTACTCACTCTTGGCTTGTCATTATATATGAACCAAGAATCATGGTTTAAAACAAACCAGCAAAACAAGTTAACTTTGGTTTATACAAAATGACAAGCCAAGAAGCAGGGAAAGTGAACTAGTTTATTCCTCCTCCTGGCCATGTGGTAGGAGAGGGAAGAATGAAAGTCTGAGGTTTTGGTCAGGATCACATAGGCTTGAGCATGTAATATTAAATCGTGGCTCAGCATGACATGAGAACTGGCCCCGAGTTCCTTCCAGAGGGAAGACTGATGTATTACAAAGATAAAATTTACAGTAAATTCATCAACTGTAAGTCTAGCTTTCCAACCAAATGAGTGATGTGTGATATCAAAAGAACTGATTACTGGATTTTTCCATGGATTTCCATTAATACATGTATTTTGAAGGAATTTTTTTAAAAAATTAACCATGCTCTCAAGTTTGGAGATGGTGGTTTCTGAATGGTATTATAGGAAGGGGTAAGAGGCAGCTTATTGGTGCAATCCACAGCTGGCCCCTATTTCTAGCTTGCAGAATGGTTACTCTCACACTTTGACCCTGGAGGGGAATAGATGCACTTACATTAAACTACAGTGAGACCAGTGTACATAAATCTACACCTTAATCTCTTTCCTTAGCTCTGCAAGAACACACAGCCACTCTTTACTTAACAAAAGGACAGTTTGGAATGCTGGTGGGAAGGAAGAATTGGGCCAATTAACACAACCCTGTTTTACATGATATTTTTTTCCAAGCATAGAACCACTCAGAAAGAAGAGAGAGATATCAGCAGTAGAAAATTGCTCAATGTATGTAGCAGTAGAAAACATTTTTAAAAACCTAAACAAATGGGACAACACCTGCAAAAAAACAAAAATGAGAACAGAACAGTGATGTCCAGAAGTCATATAATAAAGTTGCAAAAGACAAGAATGGACCAAAAACCTTCATACAAACAAACTGGAATATTGAGGTGGGAAAAATCATCCTGCTTGAGTCCTTAACTCAAGACCCTGTTCTGGGTTGCACTGTGCCCCCTGCTAGCTGAACCTTCCGTCATCATAGAATGGTTATGTAGTGAAGCTATTCCGCAATTTTCAGTTACAGGTCCCTCTTGCATAGCATCTAATATTGATAGTGCTAACACTGTGGAAGCCTGGCTGTGAGTCTCAGCAACCACCAGAATCTGGCTTCCTAGGAATAAGCTTGCTCAAAGGAAATACAGAACTAGACTTCTAGGGGCTGAGGAGATGTGCAAAACTCCACAGATCCTTGCCCTTCTTCTCCTTAACCACTCATCCTCCCTACAGCCACAATCCCATCTCCAAATTTCTGGACAAAACATTAGCAGAACAGTTAATATTAGTAAAATGTAGCATGCATACTACATGTATGGCATCTTTTATTCTGGCTTAACATTTGGTTTCTAGTTTGAGCAGTGTCATTACAACCCTGAAGGTGGCCAAGCTGATGGTTACCCAGTTTCGCCTGCTGCTTCCTTGCTGGGCCCTTCTGCAGCTGGTATTTTCTCCCCCTCAGCAAGTACTGCAGATTGAGATGCAGCTATTTCAGAAGGCTTTGAAGGCTCGGCTACTGATGCCTGTGCTGCAGGGAGGCCTTCACTCGCCTCATGGTATTCACTCTCAGTGCTCTCATTGTCCGAAACATTCTCAGCAGTGCTGGAGTCCTCAGAGGAAGTGGACTCATACCTGGGAAGGGGTGACAACAGGGAATGAGAAGGGCCAAAAGTGGTACAGGAAACCAGTCCTAGATTCCACTCCTAGGGCAGAGGGAGGTTAGGAGAGCCTGGCTCTGTGCTGCGCAAGCATTTCTCTGTGGAGGATTTTGTCCAGGCTAGGCACATTGCTGTGGGACCCCCACAAGCTATATAGGGAGCAGGGAGATCCCTGCTAGCACAAATGGCAGCCTGGAGAGTGAACGGTATCAGTGAGGGAGACACAATCCCAATGGGGGAGCAGAGCTGAACTGTTGCAGAAAAGTTCATAAAATAATGTAGCCTCAGAGGTATGATGCCATTCTCCTTTGCTGCTGGCATGAGCTTAGGTGAGGCAACTAGGAAGGGGCCTGGGAAGCTGTTAGTGCTGCCTGGACACAGCTTTGGGCATGCTCCCCTTGGGCAGTTCAGGAGTGGAGCTGGAGCCTCCTGCTCAGCGGCCCTTTGGGAACGGAGACGTCACTGTACCCGCCATTGATGCCCACAAACTGCAGGCTCTTTTTGCTGGCCAGGTTCTCTGCAGGCTCCTCCTTCTTCTTCATGATGGATCGCATCCCTGTTGTGAATGAAGCTGTGGGGAAATGAAGGGAGGCAGCAACGGTCAGTCAGTCTACACAGGATCCCATGACACCTCTCTCCAATCCACACGTCTCACCTTGGTCTTCTCCCTCACTTGGAACAGCTGGTCCAGGCTCCTGGGACAGGCAGGGAGCCATTTGCTTCACTTGGAGGGAGTCAGGAGCAGAGTGCTCCTCTTTCTCTAATGACACATGCGGCTCTGGACAGGGAGAGAAGTGACAGCATCAGCGCCAGCCTCCTGGGCTTGACTTGCCACGTAGCTCTGGTGTTAAATTGGGCACCCTGTCCAGGACTCTTACTCTGCTTTGAGGACCGCCCCCGCCGCCCAACATCACTCTTCCTCAACACAGAAATATAAAGTACTTACAGGGTTCTCCTATGGAACAATTCACCTAGTGTGAGAAAAGTATGCAAGCTTTTGCTTTCCACTGAATCCTCTAGGAAGATAAAGAGCCCATGGAGCTAAAAAGGCAGTATCCTATTACACTAATGAAAGACAAACGAGTTGAAGGTGATGAGTCATTCCAGAGACTAAATGCTTAGCTGGGTGGAGATGTTCCGTGCCATATTCTGAGAAAATGTCTTTTTCTCATCTCATCACCGATGCTCTTAGACTCATTTCTACCAGTGATGTCTGTTAACAAGGGGACCTGGTGACTTCCACACCAGCATGCCATTCATCTGCTGCTCTATGACTTGTATGAAGAGGTACTGATGCAGCAAGGGATCCATCCAAGAGGAAGCAGTGCCTGCATGTGCAATGGCAACGTGTGAATCTGCTCCACACATCTGAAACTTTCAGGAATCCTTCTTTTGCAAACCCCCAGAATTCATACAGCTAAATTCTCCTTTCTGCTCCACCTCCTTTCCATGTTAGCTGAAAATAAGTAGGGGAATCCCACTCCTCAACTGTGTGTAGGCACGGAGGGGGAACCTATGCCCCTCCAGATGTTGCTGGACTCCAAAATCTCAGCATCAGCCAGCATGGCCAGTAGACAAGGGTGACGAGACTTGCAGGCCAGTAGCTGGAGTGCTACACTACCTCCCTCCCATTCTGAGCCTTTATACACCAGCGATGATGCATGAAGTTCCAAACGCAGAAGCGACTTTATGATGCAGGTACTTTGCAATGCAGCTTCCACTATCCTGGACCATCAATCCTGGCCATGGATGAGGGGCTTTTTTTTAATCCAAAGCTTATGGAGAACGCCAGGTGGGAGAAGGTATAGTACACTGTAACTACCCATGTCCATGTCCAGGTACCAAGCGTTAGTCAGTTCATCCCACAGTGGTTAGGAGTTCACTGCTAGTCTATGTTGGAGTTTTTGATGTGGTCTTGATATGCAAGATTCATACTGTACTTAGTCAAAAGTGAGTCAAAGAAGCAGCACTGTAACAGAATGTTGCCTCCTGCTGGGTCCCCCAGGGATGTGACGCTTAGGCTGGTTCAGGACCTGAGGGTGTAAATTGGTGTCCTGCAACACCAGGATTGGACCCAATGGCCTTCACAGCCTCTTCCAACTCTACTATTCTATGATTCTCTCCATGTATTCTTTGTGGCAAAGCTGGCTCATATCTGGTGCTGCTAATGATCTTTTCATTTCAGAACTTTCAGTTGCACCCTAGGAATTTCACAGTCTGTTTTAAGAGCTTTTCCCCCTTGCTCCTGCTATAAACAGTTGGTAAAATTCAGCATCCTACATAGAAAAGTATTTTAATACTTAATACAAGAATTGCATATTATGTGAGTGCATATCTGAACTGCTCTAAACTGCCTGGAAAGCTCCTTATTCATTGTCTTTTATTTATGTTACTGCCTACCCTGAGCACTGCAGATGGAAAGGTGGGCCAGCCTGCAGGCAGGATACAGCCTGTGAGGGTTCCCCATCTGGCCTACCAGCTTTGCAACAGGGAAAAGCTCTTATCTATTTTTACCTCCTAATGGAGACAAGAGTTGTTTTCCCAGCTGGTGCAAGAGGACTGGGGAAGAAGCTACTGAATGATTCTGTCCTGCTTACTGAGGTTTGTCCAGCAGAATTTTGCTCTGCTTAATTGTGAGCAGACATGCAGAGGCAGGGCATTTGGGTTGCTATTTGGTGGTGTGATTAATTCTGGTTCCTTAAGGGTAAACATGCAGAAGTCTTGTCCTGGTTTCTTGTGAGTAGGTTTAAAATTGATAAAAGCATTTCAATTTTGCCTTTGTCTTTGGCCCTGACCACAGACAGAATGTGGCCTTTCGAATCTTTTCCAGATTGAACTTGGCCCTCAGATTATGCTGAAGGCCTTCAGCATAGAAGGCCTTCCTAGTCTGAGCACTAGCCAAATGTATAAGAAGTGCCAAATGTTCCTGTGGGTCTTTTCTCTTTCTCCACTCAAAGCAAACTGAACAACAGGCACCCTTACCTTGTTTTCCATTCCCGTTCTCCTCTGTGCCAATGATGCTGATCTTTTTCACAGAATGGAAGGTGGTAGATGTGGTTGCTGTGCCAGGGTAGACTGGAAATGTGGTTTCTACCACCTCATTGCTGCAATATGTGGTACAGAGTGGCATCTTCTCTTCCTCAGACCCTGAGTCTTTGCTTGCCAAAGCTTTGAGGCCTGCATAGGGCTCCTTGCTCTCCAGGGCTTGTGCCCTCAATGGCCTGTGGCTCACCCCTGTGGCTGTGCTGGCTACAACCTCCGGCTCCCTTTCCACTTGGACAACTTTGATTGTATTTACCCAAAGGAGGGCATCCATGTCCCCATGACGAGCCCCATTATCCCACTGTTCTGAACCTTCTCCTACTCCCCATTCTGCCAGGCTACCATCCGCTGTTGAGGTTTCTTTGTCCTCCTGCTCTGTGCCCTGGTGCTCCAGTTTCTGGTGAGCAGCCTGGAGTTCCTGGAGTGCCCTTTTCAGCTGAGTCTCTAGCAGAGCAATCTTGGTGGACAAGGCCTGAATAGCTTGGCACTGCCGCTCTTCCTCTGGGGAAGGCAACCCCAATTCTTCTTCCCTCACTGTCACCCCTATATCACACCTCCCCACCTCTCCACTCAACTCTTCATCTTCAGCTGATATACCTACACCCACTGACCTTACTTCCTTCTTGTCCAGCTTACCCCCTGTGTCAAGCCTCATACTGCTCTCATCGGTGTTTCCACTTGCCCCCTCCTCCGGGATGTCTATATAGAGCTCCCCCCCAGATTTTCCTTTGCCAAAACCTCCTGGATGCCCCAGAAATTTCTGGCTTTTGAGCTGGACACTAAGCTGCCTCTTCTCTTCTTGTAGCACTGAAATCTTCACCTGAAGCACAGGGATCATTTTAACCTGCTCTTCTAACTGGCGCAACTTCTTCAAGGCCACAGCCATCTGCTCCCGGACATGCTGGAGGTGCCCTGGGGTTGGTGAAACTGGGGTGGACAATCCAGAACCAACTGGTGTGAATTGTCCAGGAGCACCTTGCTGTGAGCCATTGTAAGAAGTCTGACGGGAGAGGCACTGGCTTCCTACCAAGGAGCTAGTTGAGCCAGATATGCTGCTATGGAGGCTTCCAAGGCCAATTGCCCTGGACCTTTCCCCATCTCCTGAGTCTGCCTGGTCTTCTAACTTCTTTCTGGCATCCATCAATGTCTTTTCCACACGGGCATTGAAGTTACTTGGTATAGTGTTGGGGTACTGTGGGTAGAAGCTGCGTCCACAATAGGAATAGGAGGAATGGCGACTGTCCATGCTGGCATTGGAGCAAAGAGATTCGGTGGAGGTCCACCATGAGCCAGTATAGCCATAGCCCCGTGGCAATGAGCTGTAGCGTGGACGACGGTGGACTGGAATGCGCTTAATGGTGTGGCCCTTCTCAATGTCATCCACATATTTGAGGAAGTCTAGGTCCAGGCGGTAGCCATAAGGAGTCTCCACTGAATAGGGCAGGTCTTGTTCCTTCCCATGGAAGGCTGTAGCGGAGGTGGGATTGGTCTTCCCTATGATGAAAAGATATCCACTTAAAACACTTTTTGTCTGACCATCTTCAACTTATGGCATGACAGAAGTCATACTAGCTCAGCTTAATGAATGTTTTACAGATCATGGCAACCCAAGATCTCAAACTCAAAAGACCAAACCCATTTGTTCCCAGTCTTGTGTGTGGACAGTTTTTACTTCATAGCAATTGGAATGTTTATGATCATTCCATGACATCACAACAGCTTTCCCAGTAGCAAGGAGGACTAACTTCAGCTAAGTGAAGCAGAAAGATAAGGTTTACGGCCTTGGAGTATTTCCAGGAATGCTTCATATCAGCTTCGGTTGATTTATCAGCTGCGTCCCTACTTGGATGAGTGGAGCCATGCTACAGTTATCCAGGCACTAGTAACCTCTCACCTGGATTACTGTAATGAGCTGTATGTGGGGCTGTCTTTGAAAACAGTTCAGACCCTGCAACTTGTCCAAAATCAGGCAACAAGCCTGCATTCGTGAGCACATCATGCTGGTCTTACACAGGCTACAGTGGCTTCCGATTGCCATCTCGGCTCAATTCAAAGTGCTCACAATAACATGCAAAGTCTAAACAGTTTGTGGGCAGGTTATATGAGGGAGCGCCTTTCTCCATATTTACCAGCCCACTCACTGCAGTCTTTGTCTTCAAGCCCTTCTCCACATTCCTCCCCCTAATGAAGTGTGAGGAGAGTTTGCAAGGAGAAGAGCTTTTTCTAGCATAGTGCCCATATTCTGGAACATAGTCACACTGGAGGTGTGGTAGGTGCCTACTCTTGGTTTTTATATGCCAACGTAATATGTTTTTCTTCCATTAATATTTTATGGTGAATTGTTGATTTTTAATGAAGATTTTAAGATTTTATACTATTATATGCTGCCGCCATCATGTTTTTAAAATTGATATAAATTCAATTTTAATTTATCTATGTTTTATTTTTGGATCCTTCTATGATATAGATTTTATTTGTTTTATTAGTCTTATCTTGTTTTATTTAATTTTGGTAGTTTACTTGTGATTTTTATTGTTATTGTTCTTTTTGTAATTGTGAGTTGTTGTGTTGTATATTGTACTGTTTATTATGTTGTATATGGATTTTATCATGATGTAAGCTGCCCAGACAGACTATGGCTAAAGGGGCAGCATATAAATCAGATGAATTTTTTAAAAAGGGTACAGAGGAGGGCAGCAAAAATGATTCAGGGTTTGGAAACACTGTCCTAAGAGGAGAGACTGAGAGAACTGGGCATGTTCAGCCTTAAGAAGAGAAGACTGAGAGGGAACATGATATCCTTGTATAAGTACCTCAAAGGCTGTCACAAAGAGGAAGGTCAAGATCTCTTCTTGCTGATGCCAGAATGTACAACACAGAATAATCAGTTAAAGTTGCAACAACCCACATTCAGGCTGGACATCTGGAAAAGCTTCCTTGCTGTCAGAGTAATAAGACAGTGGAACCAGCTGTCCAGAGAGGTGGTGGGCTCTCCCACACTAGAGACATTCAAAAAGAAACTGGGCAGCCATCTGAGTGGGAGGTGTAACATGGTGTCCTGCAACAGCAGGGGGCTGGACCCGATGGCCTTCATGGCCCCTTCCAACTCTACTATTCTATGATTCTCACAATCAGCAACCAGGGAGCTTATGAAGACTGCACGCTTGTATTTTCCCCAGCTTTTGTGTTTTGAGTTTCTTGGCTGCCTTGGCAAATCCAAAAACCATTTTAAAATAGTGTTGCAAGTATAATCCAATGCCTCATTTAACCTCTCTGCACCCACATTAAGCGCCCTATAGATCATTCAAAATGTAATATCTACAAGCAGTGCTTTTTTTGTAAAAAAAAAAAAAAGGTGCTGGAACTCACGTCACCACCGGCAGTAAGCACTCAGCGCATGACCACACACACCAATCCCAAGCCAAGCAGCCCCCTCACTATCTTGCTAGCAGATAGCAGACACAAAAGCAGCCCGAAGGCACTATGTTAATGATGTTTGCTGAGTCAAAATCACTTTGTAAAATCCATTGGAAAAAAGGGTGCTGGAACGCCGTTCCGGTGCATTCTATGACAAAAAAAACCCTGTCTACAAGGCTAAAAGTAATGACACCCCATGACCCACTAAGTTCTCTTGCTTTTACTGCAGAACCCATGCAGAGGTCTTCCAAGGGGAGCATAAATCCCTAAATGTTTGAAATGGGGAAAGTTACAAATCTAAACAGAAAAATTAAAAATCACTATGTGTGTGTGCTTGCTATGTTCGTAGATCAACACTGCTGTGCAGGCAGGATATCTATTCTGAGTCAGTACACCTCTGGGTCCTTGGTGCCAAAGGAAACAACCATAGGAGAGGGAATTGCCCATATTCCCTGTGTGTGGATTTTTGAGCTTGGGCATCTGACGGACAACTGGCAGCCCTTGGTCTTATCCACCCACTTTCTATCCCAGGCTAGTGAATACTCAGGGACACAGCATCTTCCAAGACATTCTGTACACATTGCCACATCACGAAAGCTCAGCTGCATTTGAAAAGCATAAGGCAAAAATAAATAAATGGCATTTGTTTGGTGCCCCTGGAATAGAGGCTTATCAGACTCTGAATCCCATCTCACTTCCCTACAAAATCAAATTAGCCTTCTGAACTGGCTAGGGCTGACATACAGCAGTGTAATCCAAGACAGTGGCGCTGGCGCTGGCACTGGAGGGCTAACTTTGGGCATCCTCAGCATGACTGGGGTGCTTCCAGTTGAGGTATTTGCAGTGCCACTGCCCAATCCAATCCAAAAAATTATTTGTGGAGGGGCCAAGATGTCACCCTATTTCATTCCTGAGTTAGTACTAGATACTTTCTAGAAACACAGAAACACTTCCTGTGGTTCCTCACCACTTCTATAGTCTTTTTTCTTACCACAGAAAATTCATCAAGGAAGAAACTACAAATTGCTGCACAATGCCTTCCAGTGGTTAGTGCTAGAAGCCCTCCATCTAGAGATACCTCTGGTGCTCCATGCTGCTGTTACCTGTCCAAAAGCAGTATCCACACACCCACCTGGAAAAGCAGTCTCCATGTGCAGAACCTGAGCCATTCTTTAATCCTGGTCCAAATTCAATGGGCACATGCAGTATCACAGAGATGGCTTCTTAGAACACCGAGAGAACCACACAGCCTGCGAAGAGAAGCACAGATGCTATTCAAATCTACATGTGACATGTGCGTAAGACAGGCAGAACAGGCAATAGGGCTGTAATTCTATTTGCTACATAAAACTTGTTCTGGGGCCAATTCTGTTCAACCTTTTCATCAATGACCTGGAAGAGGGGGTGACCAGTCTGCTGATCAAATTCACAGATGATGCTAAAATGGGGGTGGTGACCACAACTGAGGGGCAGGTATTCTGGATCCAGAAGGATCTGGACAGACTGTGAAAGTAGGTAGGGGACAACAGGATGGGGTTCAATGCAGATCAGTGCAAGATCTTGCACTTGGGCAATAGGAATGGGTGTTACAGGTACAGGATGGGGGACAAGTGGCTGGAGAGCAACACTTGTGAAAAGGATCTTGGAGTACCTGTCAACAGCAGGCTGAACATAGGTCAGGAGTGTGACACAGTGGTTAAGATGCCTAGCCAGAGGTATTACTTCCACTCTCTACAACTCTGGTGCACCCACGATTGGAGTACTGTATTCAGTTCTGGGCTCTACATTACAGCAAAGATATAGTCAGGTAAGAATTAGTGCAGCATAGGGCCACAAGGATGGTGGCCTGATGGGGGAAGCCGTATGAGGCGAGACTGAGGGAACTGAGTCTTTTCAGCCTGGAGAAGAGGAGACTCCGAGGGGATCTGTTGGTGATATGAGGGGTGTCATGTGGAAGAGGACTGAGACCTGTTTTCCCCTGCGGAGGAGGGCAGGAGGAGTTCCAATGGAGCAAAGCTCAGGGAATTGAGGTTCAGTTTGGATGCCAGGAAGTACTTCCTGACATTTAGGACCCCTAAGGTATGGAATGGGATTCCACAGGAGGTAGTTGAAGCCCCATTGGTGAGGGTACTCCAGGATAAGCTGGGCATGCACATGGTAGGTATGTCATGAGTGGAGCTGGCAGGAGCTGGGGGTCAGACTAGGTGGCTCAGGAAGCCCCTTCTGAGTCGTTCTGTTTCTATGTTTCTAGGACTATGTTTGTATAAAACGTTCTTGGGATAGTTAATGAACAAGTTTTGCCAGTATTACAGAAGAAAGGCCAATTGCCACGTGACTCAACTAATCAGTTCATATAGTATCTTTTGTGTTTTTCAGTACCAAACATTAATCAGCACCCAATTTATGCTAAAAGCAGACCATACAATGAAACAACTGGGCAGCTTGGAGCCAAAACCAATAATGAAAGACAACATTAATAAATTTGTATATAGTTAGAATGAAAAGAAAAAAACTCATCTTGTGGTGATGATATTGCTACAGTGTGAGTTAAACAGAAGTGAAATAAAGAGCTGGTAACTCAGAGCTGCTGAAATTAATACACAAAACATAATTCAGTTTTACTGGCCTTTTGCAAAGTGATCTAGGTGAACAAGTAACAAACAAAATGAAAGCTACCTTGTCAATGCTCTATTGAATGTAGGATTAGATATTTCTTTTAGCTGAGATACCAGCTTATTTTATAGAAACCCCAGATAGGCAGTTTTGCTTTTCCCCTTTTTAACTATCTATATTCCACATTCTGGCTGGTTTCAGTAAATAAACAACTACATTGCTTGTAATTAACCGGAAACACCAGGGTCTAAATAATAGCACAAGTGTCCGATGGAGGAAACTGAAAATGGTTCATGTGTGGTTTAATATGCACATACCCAGTATGTATGGAAATAGCACCTCCTGGTTCCTAACCAGAGTTAACCCTGCTTAGAGTAAATCCATTGAAATGAGCAAGTCTTAAATTAATATTGGATACAACCTAATCCAGCTGAAATCAGGGCTGACTTGACTTGCTTGACATTCCAGGACTCACCATGAGTTATTTGTACTGGGTGTAATTTGAATGTGCAACCTCTGCCTGGGGGTAGTTGTATATTGTGAGCTGGGTCATCTTGCCAGTAAGCCAAGGGTTATATGAGGGTTGTTTCACCCTTGTATAACCCCTGATGGATCACTTTGAATGCATGGCAGCCCTCATGTTTGACATTCAGAATGGCAGCTGGCACACATCATGGCTTGTTGGGGATTAAAGAACTCATGACTGCCTGGTCTATCATACGAATTGGCACATCGCCTTTTAGTAATAGATACTTTCTGGAAAATAGTTTTTTTAAAAGAAGAGTCCTTATATTTATGGAAGAAAATGTAAAGAGTCATGATATCCAGACAGGAGGTCACATGTTCAGGCCTTACCCAGCTTTTGTCTCAATATATACCATACTGAGAATGATGCCTGCTACTACTTCGAACCTTAGGGGCAACTGACAGCTGGGCAGGTGATTTTTCAGCAAGGAAATAGTACATGGAGAAGGGGGTAAACCCCTCTCCCACACAATATGGTCCAGATCTGTCAGGGATGCTTTAACCTGGAGTCTTGCATTGAGCAAGGAGCTGGACTTGATGGCCTTATAGCCGCCTTCCAACTCCACTCTTCTAGGATTCTGTGATAAAGGCTCCCAAGGCTGCTTGTAGTTAAAGAAAGCAAAGGAAACCCCTAATCACAGGTTTCCAAGGCATGCTTACTATCAACACATAGCTGGAACCTCAGCTATAAATTACAAAGTCTTAGACAAAGCACCCAGGCTGACCTAAGACATTTTACTGCAAGAGGTAAAGAACAAGATAGCCCTCCACCCCACCACTCCAGTCCACATGCAGACACAAGATGCGCTAACAATCACATCTTATTTCAATGCAGGACCGTGTCCTCCACCACACTTGAGGGAAGCAGGCTGGTCTAGGAGGTGCAAGGCAGGACACGGAACTTACTTCCCTCTGCTCTCCAAGTGAGGGCCAGTGCCAAAGGGGATAGTTCCCCTCCCTTAATTTGACTGCAGCACTCTGCCCAGCATATGTACTACAGGGCCACCACTGAAAAGTCATGCTCAGGGTTTCCAAAATAATGTGTCTGAAATGCTTGGAAAATACAGGGAAAGTGGCATATAAGGTAAAGGCTGAGGGAAAGAGAGCAGAGAGCTATGGGAGCCTGAGGAACTGGGCAAGAGGAGCAGGAGGAGAGCAGAACCAGTCAAACCTTGGCCTGTATATCTCTTAGTATTCTTACATTTGCAGGGAAACCATTGCAAAACTATGAAAAATTCCCTGCCCCCTTATGGACTTTCTTATTCCTGATCTCACACTCTCCAGCATCAAAGCACAGCCACAGGAAAGGCAGTGCGGTGGAGAGGACACTTCCTGTGCTCTCTCCCTTCTGGCCCATTTCCAGATCCCCAGCCCAGACCCAGCGCTGGATCAGCAGACAGTCTTGTGCTTTCCTCCAGCTGCTTCTCCTGCCAAAGCCTCACCAGACAGTCCTGCTGCAGAGCTCGGCCTGTTCCCACCACCTCGCTCCCTCCATGACTCCAGCCAAAGCCTGGGAGAGCAACAGCACAGGGTCCTTTCCAGACAGAATTCCTTGTCACAGAGGAGTGCTGCAAAATGAAAATGAAGGGCTGAGACCCGGAGCGGAGGCAGGCAAGTGGTCAGTGATGAAGTCCTAAGAAGGAGGGAGGGGCTGGATCTGAAGCCTGCCCTGCAGCCGCATGGCCCAGAGACCCAGCCGCTAGTATGAGTGCGGGGATGGAAAGAATTTGTATGCTGCAAAGGCTTCACAACTCTTCACAGTGGCTGACTCTGCAAACTTTAGGGCATGGGCTGCTTGTGAGCCTAGACCCTGGGAAGCTTCAGAACTAATTTAGTGATTAGCCTTCCCTAGCCTGTCATCCCCCATAAGTCAGACTGCAATTCACATCATTCACAGGTAGCATGGCCAGGAATGCTGGGAGTTGTAGTTTGAGTGCACCAGGTTAAGAAAGGCTGATTTAACACAGTCTGGTGACTGCCTGACATGTCTGCACATAATGCAAACAAGGTCTATCAACACATTTAGCCAAGATGGCTCAACAGAAGTCACATTCTGAATACCGGAAGGTTTCACGGCTACACCAAGGGGAAGTCTATTATATAGTGCCCTCCCAAAGGAATCTGTATGGCTCATTTCGCTTCACCTCCCTTTCTTTCCCTCTCTTCCAGATTCCTCCAAAGCACGTTTCCCCAAAGGTCCCATGTCCTGCCATTGATTGCCCCTTCTGGTCTCCTTGAAAGAAAAACCTCCTCTCAGGCCATCAGTCAGCACCAGCTTTGCATCAACCCTTGAACCCCAACCTACACTTCCTCAGTCAGTTGCCAGAGGGAGTTTACCTCCTTCTGCCTTCACCTGCACAGGCAGCCAATCTCCCAGTGAGGAGAAGGGGGCTTTCAAATGGGCAGCAGCCACCACTGGCACCCACAGCATGCTTCAGCACAGATGCCTGCCAGCCTGACACTCAGGCTGTCTGTGAGGCAGGCACCAGGCTAATCCAGCAAGCCCTTCTTGGGCTCATGTGAAGGTCCAGTGCTTAGTTCCAGCTCAAAGTTATTGTCATATAACACTGGCCCTCTATCAGCTTCACTGGCTTCCCATTGAAGTCCAGGCCCAATTTAAGGTCCTGGTTATGACCTATAAAGCCCTAAATGGCTTGGGACCAGGATACCTAAAGGAACGTCTCTTTCCCTACATGCCCTCTCACCCCTTAAGATCTGAAGCAGAGGCCCTGCTCTGAGAACCCTCTTTGAAAGAGGTTAGGAGACAGAGTACTCAGAGGAGAGTTTTCTCTACGGTGGCACTTTGGCTATGGAATGTGCTCCCCAGAGAGGTCCGACCAGTGCCAACATTATATGCTTTCCAGAGCCAGGTCAAGACCTTTTAATTCACCCAGTAATTTAAAGTTTAAATTTTAATTGTGGTTCTATTAATACCAGTCGTGGGTTATTGTTATTCGTATTATTATTATTATTATTATTATTATTATTATTATTATTGTTGTTGTTGTTGTTGTTGTTGTTGTTGTTAATAATGGATATTTATATTGCTGTATTTATTCATGCAGTGTTGTAAGCCGTCCAGAGGCACATAGTGATTGGACACATACACACA